TATTTTTTTTGTTTTAATCAGATTTCACGCAGTACAGTACTTTTTGCAATTCTCTCAAATATATGTTTACTTAGGTCCCGTTATTTTGTGAGATTAGATTAAGGAGTTTTACGGAGTTCTCATATTGGTAATCGGTCTAAATAACTTTGACCTGTGTAGTAAATAATACCAATTAAGTTCAAATATTAATTTTGTACAATGTACTTTGACTGTCATAATTGTTAGTCTATAAAGGCTTGACCTATAAAGTAACGATGACGCTTGTCGTGATCAATGGATACGTTAGCTTTGTCATATTATGACTTACTGCTCACGTTGTCGCTACTTTATCAAGCTTTCAACTATTGAGGAATAAATAAAATGTTAGGAAATGTTTATGAGTTTAATCAATGCTTTTGTAGATGTAGAAGTGGATGAAATCTATAACAGCAACATATTTAAATGGAAGAAAAATAATTCCGTTTTCAGAAAGTTAAAGCACGGGTTTAGCAACCTTATGTATTTACTTAAGGCGATATTCTAAGCGAGGCAAGTTTATTTAAACCAGCGCACATTCCCGGCACCGAAGCGAATAGCTCTCTCAGTGCTTTGAAATCGAAAGCAACAAAGTTTGCCGCTTTGTAAGAGTAGCGGGGGTCGTCGAGAGGTATGTAGGTTGCTCGAGACATGGAACAGGGTGTCGTCTTGCGGTGTGACTCGTTAAGTCGTCGTTTCCGGGGCACAATGAGAGGCAGAGGCAGGGGTGGTATCGACGGGGCGACGGCGCTGCGCATGTGCGACGCCGGCGCCCCGGAGTCTCGCGCGCCCTTACTAACGCCCGTGCAGAGCCCGACTGCTGCCAGTCGAAGCGCGCTCGTCTCTCGGGCCGGTCACCTGCCTACACCTGACCATCGGTGCCGGAACATGATAAATTGCGGGCTGCTTACTTACATTCATCATCATGTATGGTATCATCGACGATATCATTCCAATCGGAAAAACCGCGGCGATCTAATCGGCATATCTCTTGTTCTAGGTCCGATCAGACCAGTTTAGACGGCCGACTTGAATCATAGGTAAGTATTTTTTGCCCGCTCTTTTTGAATGTTTCCAATATGAATTGGGGAAAGTGTCAACACCCAGTTAATATGACTTTCATTAAAAATTCGATACTGACTCTTCAATTTGCGTATGTATATTTTGGTGGGGGATAATTTTCAAGTGTTGAAAACGACAGATGTGTAATGAAGGGCTCGCAAGGGTCGCAACGGTCGCCTCGGTAAGAAACGGTCGCAGGTGAGACAGATGGTAATGACATTTGGCGTGTTCTTAGTAGCGCTTGCGTTTTTCTTTTTGTTCCTTAGAGATGTTCCCCGAGGTAAAGCTTCTTTGTCCGCCATGCACCTGTCGAGATGTCTGGAACCCAGTTTTATGTTCTAATCGCATTAAAAGAACTTATAATTGTATAAATTACAACAAAACTTTAAGTAAAACTGTAAATCTCATAGTAGTAAATGTAATAGTTAGTTGACGTGACTGGCGATTTAATTAGGGCGATGTATAGTGGCGGGCGCGTGCTTACCCGCGTCGTACTGGAGCCAGTTTGGTCATTGTGGCGATAGGTGGTCCTTTGTGTCGGCGCTCCCGACGCCGCGGCTCCGATGGGCGTGCACCTGTGGGAGCCACTGACCTCTTTCACCTGCCACTACTCAACCACGTCGTTTTCAGGCTCTGACATGTTTACAATGTGATAGCCTATAAAATAGTCCATGTCTATTTCTAGTCTAAGCCGCCGTCGGCGCCTTCGTGTCTTTTATGCTCAAGTATTAATATGGTCGTAACATTTTCTTTTAGCGTGGTAAATTTATATTTTGTGTGGTATATAAGAATAACGTGTTCCAGTATGAAACCGTGACTTCTTTTTTTATTTACATCGTAAAGATACTACCTAATTTATACTTATGCGACGGATCGACCTATGTTTATATGTAATGTTTTTTATGCCCAGTTTTTGTTATAAACGACTCAATGTAAATGGTTTCATTGGCTGTAGAGATTACATACATGTTTTAATTTTTTTGATATCAAAGAATCCGTTTTCTTTTTTTTATCTGATCTTATTTTAGTCAGTATTATATGAAAATATAACTTTAAAAGAGTTTATATTTGCGATGTTTATTGGACTTGTATTTATAGTTAAAAGTACCGACCAAGCATCTAGATCGTTTAAATAGGGAAATCGCATCTAAAGCCCGCACACACCTTCAGTTTTAACTGATCAGTTAGGCTGTTTGGTTAAATCGTATGTGTGCAGGCAAAAGTACAGTTTCACTAACAGTTAAAATTTCGCTTACACACTTAAGTTCCACTGTTCAGTTAACACTGAAGGTGGGTAAACGGTCAAGTTAACACCAAACAATTGGTACTGTAACTATTTAATGAATATTTATCATGAATTTCAGTAAAATGGTTGCATTGGAAGTAATATAATAAAAGTGATAAAACCTCCTTAATGTATCGTTTACAACCCTTTTAAAGGAAAGCGATATACGCCCGCTCGTTTCGTGGCTGTAATATCGTGAACGTTTTCTGTCGTCAAATTGCCCGCCGTGTACTGCAAAGTATTTATGTTGGTTTTTAAACTCAGAATATGCTTAAATTAGAAAATAATCTTGTTATAAAAATCTAAATCAATCAAAAAGTAAATTATGCCTTTCGGTCTTTTTTCCACGAAACATATATTTTCCAACCATGAAGTTTTAGTTCTTCTCAGGGATGACTTAGGAAGATGATTCTAACCAATTTAATGTAAAAAGAAGTAAATACATTTCATCATCTATCCTTCTTGATGTACCAGGTTTTCGGACTCAGTCATCGCTTCCTTCGTGATCTTTACCTTTCAAGCAATCCATCTCGTCCTAAGTCAATCTCTACTGGTGTGAAGTAATACCTACACATTTAAGATAAAAAACAATCTGCGTGAAACACTCTTGTTGGTCAAATAGTTTTGGGTATCCAAAGACAACAAAGGGACGCAGTTTACGGCTTCCCTTTTACGACATACGGGAAGAATATTTACACATACTTAAAAGAAAATTATTTTTGATCAAGTATTAGATTTATTAATAAGAAATATTGGGGTGTAATAAAATTTATCAGAAGTATTATAAAACTTTATATTTATAGCTGTTTTGATTGTGACGTAAAATGTATTGTAAATGGCTGCAAAGGTAGACTTCGACGGAATATAGTATGGATGGGTTGAGTAAAAAGGACATGCATAAGGAGGCAGTGAATTCAGATATGACGGGCGGTAGGCGGGCAGCAGTACATACTGTGCCAACCCCTAGGGAAACAAATTAAGCTGGTGATAAAATGTATTGGCTCATGTTATTTATAAGTATATACCCAAGCTAGGTATAGTCAGTTGATTAAATGCCGTCGCTACGGCGTATCATTAAATTAAAACATTATCGTATAATAAAATGTTTATTATCATACTTCATATTAATGTTAGAAATGCGAAAATTTAGACGGATGGATGTTTCTTAGAGTTTTTAGTCCAAACGGCTGAACGAATCTGAATGAAATTTGGCATAGATTTAGAGCATAGTCCGAAATAACACATAGGTTACTTTCTTTTATTTTTTTAATATCACGCGGACAGAGTCGCGGGCGAAAGCTAGTAAATAATATTTACACTTACATTGTTTTAACCCTAAAGTTAACGGTCGGTTATATCTATACAATATACATTTATCAAGTACTAGCTGTTTCGAAGTGCGCTGTTAACACGCTAGCCTCTGTGCCACTTTGCAATACGATGTGTTGTCCGTAAAAAGCTAAGTATGCGATGCTTGGTTTTTAAATGCAGTTAATTGAATAGAGTAATTTTTTTTGGATATAGTTAATGTTATATGTTAACTGTTATGCAGATCATAAATGACAATGTCCTCGAATCTATGCCATAAGCAAGTCAATCATTAATTTAGAGTATCTTAGAAAAAATGTAGTACCACTATTTAAGACACAAATTAAAATAAGAAATCCAAATTAATATGTTATTACCAAAAACATATTAGAAAAATATCAGTGTGAGTCAACAAAGTTTCCGAGTAGTGCGTATAATGAGGTTCGCGCTTTATAATTGTTTGGCGGTAAACAATGAGGATCGATAGGGGCGCGCCCCGCCGCCGCCGCCGCCGCCGCCGCCGCCGGCAGCGCTCCGCCCGCCCACGGCATTACTTGCCTTCTTTATTCTTTAACATCATGTATTTACTAAAACTCAACAAGAATATATTCAATCCGAAAACTTTAAAACAAATCGTCGTTCACCATGAAGAGGTATAAAAGTAGTGTTTCGTACAAATTTGTCTAATTATAGTTTTTTTTTTTATAACATAAGGTGGCAAACGAGCAAGCGGCCACCTGAATCCGCCAAAATGGCGAAGTGACCGGTGCCCATAGACATCCGCGATCGCAGATGCGTTACCTACCCTTATCCGACGGAGGAGGAGACGCACATAAAGAGGATAATGCCCCTTCCTATGCATCTCCTCTGCCATCAAATCCACTTCCCCTTTCCATCCTCTCCTTGTAAGAAAAGGGTGGTAAAGAGAAAAGGACTTAAATTAGGCCTCCTGCACCACACTCATCAAACGAAACACGGAATTGCTTCCATTTCACGCCTGTCTTCTGTGTGGTCGTGGTACTACACCGGGCGTGCCGGCCCATTCGTGCTAAGATGTTAAAGCGGGCACTACCACTGTTAAATAGTCCAACAAGACTTACTCTTTAATGATATGTCCTATTAAAATCCAGTATAAGATGAGCTCCTTGCCATCTAGATTTGTTACTATTATACAGTACATAATAAAATAAATCCTTTTGTCTTAAATTGGCATGTTAGTCAATTAACTAGATCAGTGGCGGCGTACCCGAAGGGTTCCACTTAGTTCTAGAATTTTCACAAAGTTCATTTAGATAAAATCCATTGTTCATGTATGCGTTGTTTGCAGCAGGCGACATGAAGCGCGACGCGTATGGTGAAGACGGGCCGGTGCACAAGCGGCAGCGTCAGACTGATGATGAAGTTACCTTCCTCATCCCTAGCAAGGTAATTGTATTAGCGAACCCATTATATGTTTTTCTAGTAAAAAAATATTTGTATATATTTCTTTAACATAATTTTATTATGTGTCCAAATCACCTTGCTTAAAAAATATTAGTCGATAATAATTTGTTATTTAAGATTTGCCTAAATATTTTGATTTGATTGTTTTTTATATAAATTACTAAATGTACAAATTATCAATTGATTGAGGTTAAAAGTTAGTTGTCCGAATAACAGAAAATATCTCAGAAATTTCTATGGTCAGTAGTTAATGTTTGAATTTAAATGAATATTAGCTAAATGTGTGGCAATCGACAGGTGGCGGGATCTATTATCGGAAAAGGTGGCTCCAACATCTCCAAGTTAAGAAGCGAGGTCAGTATTATATGTAAAAGACTAAAAGTATTGAATTCCCCCATCCGGTTCCAAAGAATACAGTCTCGATAGTTATTCATAAACATAATTTATAAGTTCAAACAATGTCAAACCTTTGTTTTTCATTTTCAATATTTGCTTAATCACGCTTTTATGTATTTACCATTTTATTTTAACATGATTATATTCCTTTTTTAATGTCTCTAGAGATTGTATCAATATACCATGTACTGAACATTTTATTTCATCTAGGGTCTCAAAGTAAGTCTATTGATGTAACAATTTAAGTGTAAAGTGAACATTTACTTAATAGAATAACGATTTTCCGCCACAGGTTCAATGGTCCACCAAACTAAATGATTAAAACTATGGCTCGCTGGTTCCAATGGTTCAAACAGGCAACGTTACTTATCCAATTTTCTTTAGATTCTTGTCATAAAACGAATGCTATGTTTATGAAGTAAAGTAAAATGCAGAGTATGTGCGGTGTCCTTTGGGGTCACAGCGCCACGCGCCAGCGGCCACTGCCTAGGCTGTAGACAGAATAACCCCCCGGCAGCCAGTTACAGGTCTTTAACGCCCCCGAGAAACCTCTGTGGCTATTTATGCGACGTGCCCCGCGCCTCCGTACACGACCCTAGCCCATACCCAGATTGCGATTGATCATTTAATTTAACGATGAAACCACGGAAAACCTTTGAACGTAAATAAAGTTTGCAAAGTAAAAGATACCGCGGCAGTAGCGACTCGCAATCCGGGCCTAGGGGTAGGGCGCAGAGCGGAGGCGCGTGGCGCGCCGCTACAGCAAGTCTCGGTTGCCGGTCCCGCCCCGCCGCCGCCGCCGCCCCGCCGCCCCCCGCCGACCCGCCACGCAGTACAAAGCCTCTATAACAGTCCCCGATTGCCCCGGCCCCGAACGGTAAACCGACAAACTACTCTCAAACTTTGTACCCCAACTTGACACACCTTTATACAACCGTCAACAGTCAGGAGTTTGAGCAACCATCCGGCGTTAGATGCTTCACACGCCCCGTACCTAGCCATCACACAGCGGAGATGCACGCGAGGTTCCTCCAGCGACGCTTCCTAGACCTGTGCCGTCTGATCTCACGCGACTACTCCGCCACCACTACTTACGGAATCATCTATCGATATGTTTTTCTCCTTGTTACGGAAAACATCTTGACCTTCCTACTGCCGAAGTTGTGCTCTCATCACCATCATGCTTTAATCTATATTTCGTAGCCCGGAAACAGACCTCCCTGACCGTTGATATGTTCGTTTATTATATTTGTGCTAAGATTTTGACAATAGAAACATTAATGGATTTTTTGTAATATTGTATTTGTTTTTCAGAGTTCTGTCGATAAGTGCATCTGATATCGATACAATTTTGGAAATCGTGAAAGACATACTGCCGAATTTGGTTGATGTAAGTTTTCTTATAAACACTACTTAATGATCTTTTCACTTTTACTTAATTCTAATTAAATGTTATTCTTTAGGGAGGTCTGAAGGGAGGAAACGAGGATCTGGACATCCGTCTACTGATACATCAGAGCCGAGCTGGTTGCGTCATCGGCAAAGCCGGTGCCAAGATCAAAGAATTGCGTGAGGTAAGTTCATAACATGCTACCATTCTAGACTTTTTACCGACGGCCCTGTCTGTGTAGTTTTTTCTGAACATATATTTGACCTAGAAATTACATTTATTAAATGCAAAATATAAAACTGAATTTCGTGAACGATTTCAGTATCTTTGATTTACAATATTGATGTATTATAGATTCTACAATTTAAGCAGTATTTTTGATGTTCTGATCGTTTTTCACACGACCACATACATAATACATATGTGAATATATCTTGTGCGGTGCTCTGCACGGGGCACAGGTAACGAAAGGTGGTAAGCAGATGGTGCGAGCCGCTAATCATCCGTCGAACGATGCACTGTTACACGGAACGTTTTTTTCTATATACATAATATTGTAGCCACGTGTCTTGGGGATGAGGGGCAGATGTGAAAGCAGCTGCCATCATCTTATCTACATCGGATGTTAGGAATAACACGCTCTAAACAAAACTTGTATGGAAACTTGAAGCTTACCAAAATTCTTAGTTTGCGTTTTGAATATTGTTGTATTTGAAGAATTAGAATCTCCTAAGGTTTACGTTTATTACATTGATATAGGTATATCAGCCCCCTAGACAAAGTGACTTTCGATTAGCGATGTCGCTTGTAGAATGGACGATGTGTCAAAATGTATATCAATGACTTATCGAATGTTATTGTGAGTTTCATACATTTTTGACTTTTCGATCAGTTACATTAGGAGCAGTGCCTTTTAAAACATTCGAGTCGTTTTGTGACATCGCTAGAAATTACGATAAATTTGTCTTTGCTATGTTTTGTGTTTATTCCTATAGATTTAGACACATTTTTCAAATGTTAATCGAATATTACCCTGGCCTCTTGCAATCTTCCCTATCTCATAGCCACTTATTGATTGATATCAAGTTATTGTTATATCAAGATATAAACTGCAGTTAAAATCACTATTGTGTTTTTTTTTTTTAAATATAACGCATTTTTTTACCTTGGCTTAAATTCAGAACAAGTATGGACAGTAATAGCTAATTCCTATGAATGTGATTTACCCGTCTACCATCTCATTTAGCAGAATGTCGCTGCGACAAGGAGTTATGTCTCCTTAAAATTTGGCGCCGTGTCAAATACTAGATTGTTATGGCGATGAAACAAGTGCCTTAAATCTGTAGGATTATAAAGAATTTTGGATAGTTAATTTCATGATTTAGGTTTGCACCACTAGGTGGAGGTGTTTTTCACGGTATTAACGTTTTACTACAATTGTCTATTGACACTGAGGGTTTAATTACTAGTTTTATGTATTGAGCTTTCCCCCGCGACTCCGTCCGTCCGTGAACTAAAAAAAACATAAACTAGTCTATGTGTTCTGCCAGACTGTCCTCTACATCTATGCCAAATTTCATCGAGATTCGTTTTGGAGTTTAAGACTACAAACTCGTAACAAATATTTATTCATATAAACTCTCGCATTTATAATATTAGTAAGATCTTACGTTACGTCACGTAAAATATCAATAAATATTGTAATACAAATAATATATTTCTATAGAGTTGTTTATAGAGATAATTTGTGCGTTTATTTGATATAAATAGTATTATAGCATGATAAGCCAACGTAAGCCGTATTATATTAACACAAAACATTTACGTGGCTTAAGTCCAGAAGTCGTGCAATTTATCATCGCGCTACTTTACTGAACAAACAGCATTAGACATACGACTAACAAAGTGCAGGCCCCACTGCGGATCAATTACCGAAAGCCAGACTACAACGGAAGTTTTTAAGTCGATTGCCTCCCTCGCAAAGTCTGGACGTTTTATTACGTAATCATTCTATCCTCCCTATTGTCCTTGAAATTTTGATATTTGTTTGGAAGATGGTTTGTTAATGGTGCTATACTTTGATTTCTACCCTTAGTACTTATTTGTTTTCCATAAATATTGAATACCGAACTGAATATAGTGAATAACGAAAGAATAGCCCAAAAATAAGAATAGTTTACGTAACACTACGATGATTTCGCACTGATTCAATAACTATACATAAAGGTTTGCGATATGTCGCTCATTGAGAAGGTCTCTTTTGTTATCCGATCAGCTGTTACACGTTGGATCTCTTTGTCCGATTGTATCCCATCACAAGAATCTTTCGCCGTAAAGAACAATGTCACTAAATTTACCTGCGAATCGTATATATAAGATAACAATATATTCTTATAACAAAACATACGACGAAGTGTAGTTTTTGACACACTTTATCAAATTTACAATAGAAAGTATTTCATTCATGGATACCTTAAAATCTCGTTATATTGAACAAAGAATTTTTAAACATGATTTGTTTCTCGTATTAGTAGTCAATGCAACGAAATGTTTCTTAGATTGCTGTAGTTCTGTCGTTGTTACGCTACCTAATATAATCAAACCGTCAGACTTGTGACAAGATAATTCATGGCACGTTCTTACGCCGTACAAGTCTGCGCGTGCAGAGCTGTGCTGCCTACCCCGCGCGTGTCGGGCGCGGTGAAGCGTTCGTGCGAGCGACGCGTGCGCCAGCTGCGGCGGCGAGCCGCCGGAAGGCCGCACAAAAACGCGCGCACCTGGGCCCTACCCACTTGCACAATGCCCCGTCATAAGGGCTCCTCTATACAACGTTAAATAGACATTTCGAACATATGCCCCGCGGACTCAAAACTACCTACTACTCGCTCGCAGGTAACAAGCTGCCGATCTGTTGTTTGCTCCACTTTTTGTGCAGCTTCCATGTAAGCCTTTGTTTATATTGGAGAAATGGTCGGTTCAGATCCTTGCACTTTGGATTTGAGTTACGAGAACGAATACTGAATACCATTTATCTGCTATTTACTGTTTAAGAAACTACTGGTAACAGTTATTAAGTTTCTATCATGTACCGTGTGACAATTTCAAAGGCACGATACTTGCTTAATCTGTCACAAAACTCCCTTCGAAGTCATAACACGAAAAGTGTTAAGATTGCATTAGCGACCAACCAAGAACTTGAAACTTGACCGACCAATCATATGAGCTTATTAAGTCCTTGAGCGCTTAACTGTTTCAAGGCTTCTTGTGAAGTTATGAAATGTGTATAGAATAATAGTTGTTGGAGCTTTGTGTAAAGGGTGGTAACACGTGTTGGTGGGGTTTCGGACGGAAGCGGGGCGCCGGGCTCCGGGCTCCGGTTACTGGGAGACCACGTGACGGGAGGGGACTTTTTTGTGGACCTCCATCCACATCCTCTCAACTGTTAAGCAAAAAAAACTACGGAAATGCACACAGATTGTGATTTATTAAAAGAAATATATATATTCATTCATGTTTTTATTTCATGGGATATACATATTCAAAGTAATAAAATATTTAAAAAGAAACTAACCTACGAAGGTATCATATATGTGGGTTATAATGACCCTAGGGGACAGAGGACCGTCGGCGTCGCTGTGACACCGGCAATTACAGCAGCACGCGAGCCGCTTCCGTTTCCGATCGAAGCCGGCAGTTCTATGGCTTCACATGACACCGCTCAACAATACTTTTATATCGACAATATCTCCTAAAACCGCACTTACACAACACATCAACATCCGGTCTACCATTTAAAACATCATTCCTAACTTCTCAGTTATTTTTTCATGGTTATAAATCTCTGAAGACGTATGCTTTGTTCCCTATATTCAAAAATATCGAAGATTCATCAAAATTTCAAGCTTTCTAACATCTGCCTTTGTGCTGATTAAAACTTATTTAATAAGACATTTCGGAAACATTCGCTCCAAGCTTTCGTCTTAGCTGTCTGTTGCATTCTTAAAGCTTAGTGAAAAACCGCTACGTTTGAGTGTCGATGTTCGTAGGCGTGCTGCCTTACAAGTGTGGGGGTGGGGGTTATCACAGGTGTTCCGCTGTGACATCGTACCCTCGCCTCATACCGTCTACGACCACCTTCAGGGTCGGACGTGCCTGAGGTTCAGTGACGTGTTTGTGAGATACATCGCGATTTAGTCCGTGATATTACCGTGATGGATTTAAATCGTCAAATAAATTTATTTTCTCGCTTGAAGAATAGTTTTCTAAAGTGAGTGTTTTTTTTTAGTTTTAATTTTACTTTAAAGTGTAGTGTAGTTTAGGTTAAACCGTTTGAACTGAAGGATATCCTTTGTCATTTCGTTAAAACCTATTGAGTTTCGTAGGAAGTGAAAAAGCTCAAATTGTGTTTCGGTATAATGATTCATTTATCTATGAAGTACTCAATTTCATTTAAAAGTATTTTAGAAAAATTTGTATGGTTTAGAAATAATTATCACAATTTATATTTATAAATACAATTTGCATTTGCATAAATTTTTCAAGTGTTTTTTAACGAAGGATATTAAGCGATCACGTTCTTAAAAATACTTTAAAGCTATAATGCAAAAAAAAAATGTTTAGTGAGTGTGACAATTATTTCTTAACACTTCTTCGTTTCATCCTCGAAAAAAATTTGTTTAGTGTGGTATTGTTTGGCACGTAGTGCGTGCCGTGTGTCGGCTCGGGCCACGTGCTTCGGTCGATGGATCAACGCTTGCGCTCTTCAAGCAACGACGTCACGACTTACTCCTTATAATTAATCATTATAAACAGCCTGTAGCAAAATTAAAGAATAAAAAAGAATCATTCTTACTGGACAGTGTTTTTTTTTTACTTTTAATTAGTAGAAACTTTTTCGTAGCTCTTGTCGTTCGCAAAGGGAGTCGGTGACCTCGGTGGCCTAATTTCTTTGACGTTACCCAATAACGGTAATAGATTGTCCGCAAATTTCCAACTAACCCTCGATTGCTTTTGTACGTCTGACATCGTTATAAATTATTATTATATGGCTTTTGGAGATATTAACATTAAATAGATTAAATTCCACATGTTTTGTTTGAAGGGTTTTTTCATAATTTTTATTTTTTAGGTTTATTTTTTACTAGTAACATAAACCAGCAGATATGTTTCTTTATGTTCGTCCTTTATACATATTTAAAGTTCGCAAAATAAGATACTAACACAGACAAAGTTAAACCATGATTAAGTTTAAGTATTCCGTATGCTTCTATGCAAAACCATATATTGTTAAGTTCTATAAGAATTGAAAACTATCGAAAGTTAGTAGAAACAAATATTTTTTGTAAACTTTACAGTTTTTATATTTTCTTTTCGTGTCGTTTAATCAGTATAGTAATACAATTGCAGAAAACGGGCGCCCGACTGAAGATATTCTCTAGCACGGCGCCGCAGAGCACGGAGCGCGTGGTGCAGCTGGTGGGCGGCAAGGAGGCCGTCGCCGCCGGCGTCAGGGAGGTGCTCGACCTCATACGACAGGCAAGTAGCGGATATACGGCAATACACTCTGTTATCTGATATTCAACAAAACTTTAAAACTGTTTAGAAGAGCAGAAAATCGATATCAATGTAAATAATTCTATCCTCAGGACACATCTGCTCGATTTCTTATACTAAAGATAGCAGACTTTTTAAGACTTTAGTTTGATCCTGGACATAATTCCAGGTGCCAATAAAGGGCGCGATACAGAACTACGACCCGCACAACTACGACGACTACTACGCGGAGGAGTACGGCGGGTTCGGGGGCGGAGC